GACCCGCTTTTCGTTGTCTTGTTTATATATGGATAAGCAGTCTATATAAACTATATATGTCATTGGCGCGGCCAGGATGTGCCTCAGCACATACCTTTCCTGCAACTTTACCCAAAAATACAATTAATTACTTACTTATTGAAGTTAATCTGTGATATTGAGCAACTGCATGTATTATAAGTCTATCAAAACTTGTGGGGGGAACTTTAATATAACGATCATCTGGTGTAGCTTTAAAAAACTGTATCAAATCTTCTTCACAAACTTGAACGATCTCCAAAGAAAGATTCTTTCTTATTTTAAAAGTACGTTTGATCCTTGAGGATATCCTTCCAGGAATATCACTCTTTGTATTCTCAACAACAGTTTCATTTGGATATTTTTCCGTCAAAGCCTTAATGATCTCAGTTTGTTCTTCTTCAGATTTCTCAATGAACTCTTGCCAGTATTCAAAGGCTTCTTTATCGTCTAAGAGACGAGCAAATGGCCCCTTGTAAGTTTCCATTATGACAACCATGTTTTCATTTTCTTCCTCTTCACTTAGAGTCTGAAGAGTACATCCTACAAAAGAACTAACTCATCATTTGTTCAATTATCGATAAATGTCATACTGTTCTGATATCTTCTTAACTTCTTTCTCCCTGAATTCCGTTTAATATTAATCAATTCTTCGACCTGAGATACTTTTATTATTTTGGGTCTTACTATTCTAATTCTATTAGGAATTGGTTCATTGTTTATTGACTCTGTATCACTGGCAGATATACTTCCCAAACTACAATTAAATATGTTAATATGACTTAAAGAAATTGAAAAATGATTTGTTACTTACTGCAGAGATTCTGTATCTGAAGCAGAGGCAGAATTGGGTGAAGGATATTTAAAATTTTGTTTTTCCTTAATAACAGTCATTTTGGATTTCTTTATGTACGAGTGTTGTAAATAAGTGAAAATATTGCTAATAATTTAATTTCATAACTTAGTATTTAGTTCCATATTTTGTTGCAATTTTCTATACCTAAATTATCATAAATAAAACAACAAAAAATGATGTAAGGTTTGTTCTGGTTCTCAAAATGAAAACTGTTTTGAAACTGCGCCGGACCGTATGCGTAAAGGCAAAAAATCCCCGACTGTTTGAAATTGTTGGAAAACCAGAACACGTCATAAAGGTGTTTTGTTTATTGTTTATTATAATAATGAAGTTCCTTTTGAAAGCTCAGCTTCAAATAACATTTGCATGTATATGTTTACCATTATCATCACATTTCAATGGAATAAATAAAAACAGAATAATATTAAAAAATTAATAATTCTAAAATTGCTTTAATTTACAAATAAAACAAGAACAAGAGACATTCGTCCACATAAATAAACAATTTGGGATTGTATACGTTTCGTATAGTCTAAAAAGCCAATAAAATATTCATAACACTTCAAAAACGCATGCGCGGTCAAAACAGTCCGAGTCGATCCACACTCCCAAGCATGAACACTTTTTGACTGTTTACAACAATCACGGATTATTTCGGATACGAAACCAGAACACTGGACTGAGAGATCCGAAGTAGTCCCAGAAAAACCAGAACACTTTTTATCTACTGCGCATGAGCCCGACAGTTGTGGATCGTTATTTCTCAAAACCAGAACAGACCTGTAATATTTTTGACTTTGACAGTTTGACGTTATTCACAGGTTTCAAGCACAGTGTTGTCAGATGAATTTTTCAAGGGATATAGGAATATATTCTGTAACACATCCGTTAAAATTTAGAGGCCTTTTAAAAATTAAACTTTTAGCGGCCCGTTAATTTTTTAACCGAAAATGGTATTCGTGGGGTCTATTCTGTAACAATTTCTTTATATTTAACGGCCTTTAAAAATATTTTTTTCTTTACTTCTGTCATTATTTAAACGGATCTTTAAAATACATTAGAGGACTATCTTAAAGAAATCTGTTTAAATAATGACAGAAGTAAATTAACGAATACGAACATATTTTTATAGGCCGCCAATATTTTTAAATGCCGTTAAATATAAAGGAATTGTTACAGAATATACCCAATTGGGGTCTATTCTGTAACAATTCCTTTATATTTAACGGCCTTTAAAAATATTTTCTTCTTTACTTCATTATTTAAACGGATCTTTAAAATACATTAGAGGACTATCTTAAAGAAATCTGTTTAAATAATGACAGAAGTAAATTAACGAATACGAATATTCTTAAAGGCCGCCAATATTTTTAAAGGCCGTTAAATATAAAGGAATTGTTACAGAATACACCACTGTTGTATACACAAATTTTAGAAGCCTGTTATAAATTATTTATTTTAACGGATTCCCTTAAAAATGGCAGAAGAACACTTGACAAAATCGCATTTAAGATTTATTTGAACTATAGTTTGAAAACAACCATACAAATTCTCAATTTTCAATTCAAAACCGTTAAACATGAAAGGCGAATTTTAACAGTCCTTTAAAAATGATTGTTATTTGAGGACTATTTTAAAGGAATCCGTTGAAATAATGACAGAATTCTGTAACAATTCCTTTATATTTAACGACCTTTAAAAATATTGGCGGCCTATAAAAATATGTTCGTATTCGTTAATTTACTTCTGTCATTATTTAAACAGATTTCTTTAAGATAGTCCTCTAATGTATTTTCAATTCCTTTATATTTAACGGCCTTTAAAAATATTTTCTTCTTTACTTCTGTCATTATTTAAACGGATCTTTAAAATACATTAGAGGACTATCTTAAAGAAATCTGTTTAAATAATGACAGAAGTAAATTAACGAATACGAACATATTTTTATAGGCCGCCAATATTTTTAAAGGTCGTTAAATATAAAGGAATTGTTACAGAATAGACCCCAAGGTCAGTTAGGGCCGATTCCACCGTTGTGTTAAACGGAGATTAAAATGACATTGTTAATGTAAAAATGTCATTTTAAACTACGTTTAACACAACGGTGGAATCGGTCCTTAGGGACTTCAGCAATCTATTTCAGTTACCAAATGTACGTCTTAAAAATATGTTTCGATTTTAAAGATGTAGCCAGTACTATATAGTTAATATTATAGACCCAATTTCGTTGGGTTTATTTTGCACTGAACTATTATACAGTTCAGTGAAATTTTGATGTTCTAAAAAGTTTATTATCAACTCTTTTTGGTTTTTAGTAGTTCTTGGTGCGCAAGACATTGTTTATTTCAAATGTATGTAGATATGTTTTGGTTTTGAATTGAAAATTGAGAGTTTGTATGGTTATGTTTTCAAATTTATTCTTCTAATCCTTCAAAATTAGTTCAAAAGAATCTTAAATGCAATGTTGTCAAGTGTTCTCCTGCCATTTTTAAGGGAATCCGTTAAAATATATAATTTTTAACAGGCCTCTAAAATTTGAGTATACAGAATACCATTTTTGGTTAAAAAAATTAACGGGTCGCTAAAAGTTTAATTTTTAAACGCCTCTAAATTTTAACAGAATAGACCCCACTTAACTGTTTACTGATCCCAAATTCAGTATCGATCAGTGTTGCCAGTCTAGTACAATTGTTCTAGATCTAGTACATTCTCTAAGAATCTGGTACTCTAGTACACTCGAACCAAAATCTAGTACTTTTTTTAGCCTATGTTTCCATTTGAAGTGTAAAATATATTGTTCAAAAATTGTCAGAGAAATTAAAATAGCTGTTAAAAATTGTCAGAGAAATTAAAATAACTTAAAAATTGCTTCAGAAATAGTAGACATTTCTCGAGAGATAAAACATTGTTCAAAAATTGCACGAGGGATCAAATATTGTTCAAAAATAGCTTGAGAGGTAAAAAAGGGGTTAAAAATTGATCGAAGTATAAAATAGTATTAGAAATTACTTGAGGGGTAAAATATTGTTCAAAAATTGTTCGAAAAATTAAACAGTATTATAAATTGTTAAAATCGTGTTCAAAAATTTCTGGAGGAAAATAGTATTACAAAATGTTAAAACCTTGTTCAAAAATTGTTTGAGGGATAAAATACTGTTGAAAAAGTTGTTGAGAAATAAAATATTATTTAAAATTGACTTGAGAGATACTGTTAAAAATTTCTCGAGAGATAAAATATTATTTAAAAATTTCTCGAACGTTAAATTACTATTAGAAATTGCTCGAGATAAAATATTGTACAAACATTGCTCGAGAGAAAAAAAAGTTGTTAAAAATTGCTCGAGGCATAAAACATTGTTAAAAATTTATCGAGAGTTAAAGTAATGTGCAGTTTGCTAAAGAGATAAAAAAGTTGTTAAAAATAGCTCGACAATAATATTAGAAATTTATCGAAAGATAAAATATTGTTTAAAAACATCTCAAGGGATAAAAAAAGGTTTAAAAATTGTTCGAGTGATAAAATAGTTATTATAAATTGTTAAAATCTTGTTCAAAAATTACTCAAGAATTAAAAAATATTGTTAAACATTTCTCGAAAGATAAAACATTGTTTAAAAATTGCTAGAAAGATAAAAAATGTTAATAAAAATTACTAGAGAGATAAAATATTTTTCAAAAATAGCCTGAACAGGCTGTTAAAAATTGCTCGAGTGATTAAATAGTGTTAAAAATTGTACAAAAAATATTGTATACACATTGCTCGGGAGATAGAATTCTGTTAGAAATTTATCGAGGAATAAAATATTGTTTAAAAATAGCTCAAGAAATAAAAAAAGGTTTAAAAACTGTTCAGAAGATAAAATAGTATCATAAAAGTTATTAAAATCTATTTCAAAAATTGCTCGAGAGATAAAATAGTGTCAGAAATTTGTCGTGAGATAAAATATTGTTTAAAATTATTGTGTTCGTTTTTGCTCTTTAATGACCACACTTCACAATTTTTATGTAATCTGGTACATTTTTTAGACAAATCTGGTACATTACAAAAAATATTCTGGCAACACTGGTATCGATGCCTAAATATCGATACTTTCATCGTTTAATATCGATAAGATCAAGAATCAAGATCCCTACTCGTAGCACACGATTTAAATGTCAGTGTCAAAAATAACCATGTAATTTTGTAGTAGTAAAAGTAAATAAAACATATTTTGAGATATTTCATAAGAAATCAGTAATTATTTTAATAAAAAAGGACAAAATTACCACCTTTAAGGCGAATATGTTTAGGACTAAAGTTCCGTGAGGTCATTTTGATAAGAATACGGCTGGAGTGGTACAATATGTTTACAACCGATAAAAAAATTAAATATACGGTTGTTGATAACACCGATGAGCAGGAAACGGTAGATTTGGAACCAATGAAACGAAAAATTTGCTCTTCTATATGTCTTCGATCAACACTGTTTACAGGAGTCCTAATAGGTACCTATTATATTCCTTCTATTGGACTTACATTTTATCAGAATTGGCTTTACAAGGTAAGTTTTAAAGTTTTGTAAACATGTTTACTACAAACAATATTTATGGACACGTTTACTTAGTGCATAAAAATTATGACAATTTATAACAAAAATTTTACATATGTGATTCTAATAGTTGGGATATGAATTTTATTTTTGATCTAATATGTGTCATGTTTTTTAATTAAACCATTTTTTTAGAGTTTTCATTTCCCATTGATAACGGTTTTAACGCACATGCTGGTAAAATTCATTTTGGCAGCGCTCATAAGGGTATGCTTAAGGAGATCAATTAAACAAAAAGTCAGTTATGACTGGAAGGAATACTTAATGGCTGTCGTTCCCACTGGAATGTTCAGTGGCATTGATATCAGTTTCTCTAATTGGGGATTGGAACTTGTAACAGTCTCATTGTGAGTATTAAATTGCGTTTTTCATGTTTCTATTATTTCAATTTCTTATGTATATTTAGGCCAGTGACAGACTGGAAAAATAAGTTTTGTGAAACTTGTGACTGAAGCAAATTATGTAAAACTTTTAAAACTTGCTTTAAGTTACTAGTTTCACTTACTATGTGGTTGGATGAAGACGTAATGTTGTTGTGGTTGGGAAACCACGGATAGAAATTGAAAGCAAAGAGGAAAAGGCGACTTTAGGTACATCCTGCTAACATCAATAACTTACAATATAGTGCTAGTGTTGTTGGTAGAGAACTGCCACAACATCCAGAGAAATTTACCACTTGCATTTATTTCCTTTGACACATTTTCCCATCCTACTCTAACAACCTCTTGACAACTGTATTCTAGTAATTGAAAATTATACAAACATGGTTACTTTTTCACAGTTTTTATTAATTTATTGTCTTTCGACAGTTTTTTTACAGAATAAATTCGCAAACAATCAAATCACCTAGTGTTTACACTTTTGAGTACCAAAACGTATGAATAATATAGCACTTTCTGTTTTACGAAATTTGTATATGACACAGTTTCTACTCTCCTGTTGTAGAAATGCCAGTAAATTCCATCTCATTTGAATGTTGTCATATTTTTTTTAATGGTTGGTTCATTTGTAAAGTACTTAACAAAATTTTTTCAGTCACACGAGGCCTGAGAAATAATTTTTTTAATTGCATATTCTCAATAAATCCAGAGAATTTAATTTTTCATTGCCAAAGATCGACTTTAATTTTCCTATTAATAATCCCATCTCTGTGTGTATTGTAGGAAGATAAATAAAAAAAAAATTATTAGGTGTCTTGTTTCTTTTAACAATTCTGGACCATGCACGAAGTGTAGCAACTAAATAAAAAGACAGCATGAAACTTAATATATTTTAAAAATGTATAGTTGTGGATATATAATAGGGTGGAGCGAAAACTTTACCGAAACAAGTAATTTTCGAAAGCGAATGTGCCTGGGTGTGCAAAAGATGACTTTCGGGATTCTTATTTAACCAAACTCCAGTGGAGATTCGTTGACACATCTCGTATATATTGTTACGCTGGTTTTTGGTATCACAATTTATTTGAATTCAACTTTTACAATAACTCAACTCAACTGACACAATAACTTTAACTGATAACATTAACGTTTAACGTCTATCATAAAACTAAAACTCTGAGGTCAGGTCGTCGCCTTACGAAATACAAGTTCTTTTTATGTGTTATGTATTCATATAAAAAATGCGATCTATTAATAATTATATTCTGTCAATTCCTGCTCTGTAATTGGGTTTATGACCTGTAGAGTATTGTATTATAAATAAATAAATATAGCTTGCCTCCCCTTCTGGAACCTTCTGGACTTTTCTTTGACAAGGAAGGACATTTCAAGACTTTTCGGGAATATTCTATCTTCTTCATTTACTCGTACCTTTACTTATGATGACCGCAGCACGCTACAGGGTGCTGCGTAACAATATACTTAGCATCTGTACTTACAGTTTTTAGATCGGTAAAATTGTCTTACGCGATTCAAGGGTCTTACCAGAGATAACAGATATATAAGCAGTCATTGATAAAATATAATATTCACGATGCCAACATTAATTCAACAATCGATACATTCTATTTCTAGACGCGGGGCGAGGCGACGAAAGGTGAGAAGTAAGAGAAGGGATAAAAAGAAGAATTTTACGCAAACACAACTTATTTTTATCAATGAATAAATGTGTAAGTCACGGCGCGCTTTTAATACACAATGTAAATTTCGGGATCCGGACAGTTTTTCGAATGATAATTATTCGAACGACAGTTCTTCGAACGACATTTATTCGAATGGACAGTTATTCGAAAAGACAATTCTTCGAACTGATAATTTTTCGAATGTACGATTCTTCGAATAGATAATTTTTCGAAATAAGTTGGTTTTATTTTATATAATTTAATTTTGACATTTTGACATTGTATTCAGTCTGATTTTAGTGCTTATAAAGATGCCTCTCGAATTCCTTTTTAGTGAAAAAGGAAAAAAAAAGTTATTTTTGAACGGATTTTTATTCGTTAAAGACAAAGCCGTTGATGAAAAAACATATTGGAAGTGCGAGTTCTTTTTGTCTAAGAAATGTAAATCGCGAGCAATTACAAGCCATGATGATGTTTGCAAAGAGACTTCTTACAACCACCCCGCGGATGCAGCAGAAGTAGATGCCATATGTTTTAAGAATAAACTGAAGGACAATTCTCGGACAACAAGAAACACTCCACACTACCTAGTATCGGCACTATCAAGTTAAGTGGACAAACTAACAGCAGCCAAACTAAGTAAAGTAAATAGTTTAAAGCGAACAATACGCAGGGAAAGAGTGAAAGAAAACATGGAACCCACACAGCCGAAAAGTCTAGAGGAGTTGTATCTACCTGATTCTTTTAAAACCACCACAAAAGGCGAACCATTTCTACTTTTCGATTCTGGAAACATTAAACAAAGAATTCAGATTTTCAGCACGAAAGACAACCTGGATTATCTACAAAAAGCTGAATAATAATAATAATAATAATAATAATAATAATATTTATTGCTTCTAAACCTGAGTTACAGCAATGAGTACAGATATAAAAAAATTAGATCTTAAAACATAAAAACAACATTATTCTTCCAGTACAAAAGAGCGCAATTTTAATATATTCCAAATATATTCAGCAATTTTCCTAGCTTCAAAAATTGTTATATTTTGTAAAGTATGCAGCAATGAGTTTACATTTTCAAGGCAAACGATATTTTGCTTCATTGTTGAGTAAATAGGGCAATAAAAAAGTATGTGAAAAATTGTTTCTTTTTCATGTGTATTACACACAGTACAATCTAGTTCGGGGTCAATAACATAACTAATACCATTTAATGTAAATTTAATCCTAAAATGGTTGGACATACGCAATTGAGCAAGAGTACGGGTAACCTGGATTGGTAATTTAAAGAGTAAGTATGTACTTGGTTCACAAGATATAGGAACATAATTATATAAATACATAAAAGGATAGCGAGACGCTATACTAACATCTGAATCATGTAAATGTGTAAAATACTTGGAAAACAATTCTTTTCTATATGAACTAAAAGAAGGATGGTTTAAATTGTTCCATTTATGAACACAATATCAACAAAGAACTTTTTCAACTGTACTATCCAGTTATACTTTATATCTGTAGAGTTGATCAAACGCAATTGTTGTTTAAAACAAAGCTTTGGATATCGATGATTATCCATTGTCATTATTTTTTGTATCCAATTAAGGGACATTTTAAAAATATTAAATGCAAACTTTACTCTTCCACTCTCTAAACGGATTGTAGCATCAGGAGTAGTGATGGGAACTAAAAGAACTCTTTTAAGGAAATATAACTGGACTCTTTCCAATACATCTAAGTATCTTAGGCCCCAAACAGAAATACAATTAAACATAACACTAAGGGCAAGTGACTCAAATAATTTGATTCTAGGATGCCAAGTATTAATTTTAGCTTTCGACATTATCGGAAGGAGAGAACCTATAGCCTGTTTACCTTTGTTGGCAGTAAAATGAGCCATTTCATTAAAAAGACCTGATGAAGTAAATACTACTCCTAGATATGTATATGTAAAAAGCTGAATACATATACATGGATGGAACTTTTAAGACTGCACCTATGCTTTTTTACCAGCTCTACACCATACATACATTTATAAACGAGGAATCCGTACCACTGGTATATGCACTTCTACCTGATAAATCAAAAGACACTTACATAAAGTTAATTTCGGCCCTTAAAGATCTAGCACCAGCTCTCAGACCGCAATCGGTTCTAATAGATTTTAAAGCAGCGATGATAGGAGCGATACATCAAAAATTTCCGAATGCAACTGTACAAGGATGTTTCTTCCACTTTTCACAGGCAATTTACAGAAAAATTCAAACAGCTGGCTTTAAACAGCGGTATGACACCGACAAAAACTTTGCACAGCACATGAAGATTTTAGCTGCATTAGCATTCGTACCTACAAAATACATACAGCCATTTTTTAATGCATTAAGCGATGATTTTCCAGAAGAAGCTACCGAGGTTCTGGACTACTTTGAGGAAACATGGATTGGGATGATTCGTCGCGGTCGTCGAAGGTCACCGTTGTTCGATTGGGAAATGTGGAACTGTGTTAATAATGTTTTAAACAGTCAACCCAAGACTAACAACCACATTGAAGGTTGGCATCTTGCCTTCGAAAGCCAACTTTCGGCTAGCCATCCCACAATATGGAAGTTTATTACCGCGATTCAACGCGAACAATCCTTAACTGAAATGAGAATTTCTCAATTTTACTGTGGAACTCCCGCTGTGCCGAAGAAAACTAAGTACTTACAATTAAATATTAGATTACAAAATATTATCACTCAGTTTTCTCCTAAAGACCCTATAGAATACTTAAATCGTATAGCTTGTAATTTGTCTTATAAATAAGTTCCTCGTTTCTTTTGTTATATAGTGTATTATAAATAAGTCATGTATTAAAAATAATTAATTGGAATAAAATCATTATTTTTATACAAAACGCTTTTTATTTTTGACGTTTTGGTGTCGCACCTGTGTCAGGTTATCAAAAAATTAAATAAAAAAAATAAATTATCTAAATTGAATTTCAGGTGCGACACCGAATGTTTTTTGTTTAAATTACCTACACTTTATCATTCCTCAATAATGTATTTTCGAAAAATGGTCTGTTCGAACAATGGGCTCTTCGAAAAACTGGCCGTTCGAAGAACCATCCGTTCGAATAACTGTCCATTCGAAAAACTGTCCTTCGAAAAACTGTCGTTCGAAAAACTGTCGTTCGAAAAATTGTCATTCGAAAAACAGTCCTAGATCCGTAAATTTCCATGCCGGTGTAAGCCCTGTTG